AGAACTTTCTAAGCCACATTTACCTTCCATCAACGTATATTGTTTATAATTTTGAAACTATGTCACTTCACGACTAATAATCAGACTAATAACCAGTCATTTTTAAGCGTTATAATATAATTGTTGTATTATAATAACATTCAATGAATAATATTTAACGCGATGTTTTTCTTATTAGTTGTAGAGAGAGAGAGAGAAAGAGTAGCATATTTTTTTCTGAAATTATAAATTAAAATATCTCCACGAAAATTTTTATTTTTTATGATTTATAGTTTGAAAAATATAGATGTGTTTTAATATTTTATTAGACGAATATATCGGTGTTCTTTCCAGTAAACTCTATAAAAAAATTCGTCATTGAAATTAAACTTGGGCAATAGACTTGGACATGACACTCTGCGCGATGACATCAAATTATATTTCGATATATAATATGTTTGTTTTTTTTATCTTCAAGCCATAAAACATTGGCTTGACATTGAGTATTCTAGTCAAAGTATTGATATTGGACATTGCCGAGGGATTTTCCGCTTTTTTGCCGGGTTCTTTATACGTCGCACGCGTGCATACGGTCTGCAACTGGTCTGTCGTAATAAACGCTATAAGTAGTTACATAATCCTACAAACTAATGGTATGAGATATCTTTCCGCTCCTCTTCTCTCTCTGTCTCTCCTCATCGTGTCAATATAAGCTTACCGACATAAGGTCTCCTATGAGCGATACGATGACCTTAGACGCCTCGACGAGCCCGTAATTCGAAAGGACGTATCCCGATCGATATATTAAAATCGAGAACGTTTTCTCGCATTCAGTCCCGTTGAGGCGGAAAAATTACAAATATACGTGTCGCACGCGAGGCTATTGCACGTGCGAATGTATGCGTGAGTTAATGTACAAGGTCATTGTTGCGTCCCTATAATAGAACGTCGACGTCATTAGTTGGATGAGCAGAATCATAAGTGCAACGAGAGGGAAATGCGACAAAGTTGTACTACATTTCTAGATGTGTCCATAAAAAATTATTTTGGAAATATATTATGTAAGACACTTGACTTTAAAATCTATAAGATTGGAAACGATACAATGATAAGCCTATTAGACTTAATAGAATAATATTGGCTAAAAGTTCTTGACGTAAAGAGTCGAGGTGGTCAGTTTAATATCACGTGTTTCTCTTTAAAGTTGATAAAGAAACAATAACTCTTTCCTGTAAAATTTCTGCCACAAATGAATCTAGAGAAGATATCTGATATCTCACAAAATTTAATTTAGATTCGATGTGACACTTATCAGATTCTTAAATCTCTTCAAGAGATCTACAATTTGTGGATCAAAAATTTCAAAAATCTGAAAAAGATCGCGTTTACATATGCAAGAGTTTTTACAACTCATGCATGAGTAATTACGCAGAAAAAAATCGGAAAATATTATATTCAGTAAAATATTCAGTTTATATTCGTTCCTATCTTTGTATCCTTTTTAATGGATTTATAAACGACAGAATTTTAATAAGTATCGATCGCTCGGATGCTTTGAAACTTGTATTAAAATTATCGAGAGATGTGATAGCCGCGCCTCGATAGTACTTTGTGCAAATTAATCTGCGACGTTTTAAAAACGAAGAATAAATCTTGTGTATATTAGCTCGAACTTCTTATTTATAAATAGAATTCATTGCAATCTGGTAACAGTTAAATAATCGCGTCTATTATGAGACTATGGAGTCATCCCGCAACTCATATACTTATATATATATGTTTTCTAATGCGATTTTATGTAATTCCCCGATGTATTTTTTCCTCCTTTCTTCTTATGCGCCATGACTAAGATGAAAGGGTTATTATCCTCGATGAAAGTGGTTGTTAATGTCTACTTGCGATGATATGTCTGTGTTGATTATGATCGGCGTGTTATAAAACGATTACGGCCTCTGTTAAAGATACCACTGTCGAGACGGATTTGTTGTGGCCTGTTTAACTGATTATACCGTGAATACGAACACCTACGCGTGTTTTCCTTCTTTGTTTTTTGTCAGATACCAATCCGATGATAATATCAATAATTCACGGTAACTTTTATCGGATATGTAAAATATGATCAATCTTCTTACGCAATGAATTCAAACTAAAAGTTTGTTATTTGTTGCATATAAAAATAATACGTAATTATTTTTTATCTGTTGTAAATGTTTCTTATATTACTTAAAAATCACCATGCAATATTTCAAATTTCTAAATTAAACTCTATCAATTGTCATGTCTGAATAAAAATATTCAGAAAATGTTGATTTCTTTTTAAGAATATCTAGAATTAATATTATTAAAGATTGATAATTATTAGAGATTAATTATTCTATATTATATTATTATTTTATTAGGAATAAAAAATATTTTAATATAATATTTTTACTATACATATACTTTGCATAGTTTTTCTATTTTCCATTTACCAGATCAAGTTTTGTCTGAAAAAGACCGTAAGAAAACTAATGTAAATCCCATGGAATTGTTTTGTGAACAGTATTAGCTACTAGCTTTCCATAGTCGAATCGAAGTTAACTTTGTCGCGAGATGTAACAGCCACGGGTCCGTTCAAACCGGTCGCGGTGTATTATACCATAATTGGGTTCGTATATTAGTGCCTCTAGTGTCCTGCAGAAAGTATCCACACGCGTACTTCTATCCGACATAAAGCAAATCATTAATTTAATTTAAGGAATTGACCGAACGAGATATATATTTAGAAATATTTACATTTGTACATATATACATGATATTTTATTCATAGCGTCCTTAATATTTAAAAAGAAAAAACTAGGAGATATATTAAAACAGAAATTAATACTAAAAAGCCGCTGTTTTTGCATTTACTTCGAAATTGTGTGATTAAATTGAATATAAAATAAAGAGGAAAGAATTTTGACATTTTTTATGTGCTTTACTTACAAAATATTAACAAACCGTCATTATTATAATATGCATGTAAGATGCGTCAACCGAGTTTTCGTCATTATATAATTATAATACATCATATGTGTATAAAGTAAAAGAAAAATTAAGCAACGTGTAAAATATTGTGAACATAGCTATATATGTAGCCTGCTTATCTGGAAAAATTTTGTTTGTATTTCTTTTCTTTTTAATAAATATAATTTTCTGAAATCTTAATAAATTTTATGATAAGTTACATCTAAAGCGCACCTATTTCATATCATTTTCTTTTCTTACAGCGGTGAGAAAGATGCCGGCGATAAGAAAGAGAAAGATAAGAAGAAAGGTGAGTAGTATACCGTGTATTGAAATTTATCGATTCCACAGCCGATCTTTGTTAACTATAATTATAAATTTAAATTTGTTACAAACTTGTATTTTCTCCTTGTATATTTTGCTTTAATATCAAAGATTCGAGCTGGCTATCAATATCGAGCACATCGATCAAGTGATTTTGATGATGTAGAATTGTAGAATATTGAGAAGGAGGGAGGCGAAAGAAGGGAAAGCATTCTTTGTAAAATAACGCTAATTCAGGAAAATCCATGACTGATAAACGTTTTTCTTAAAAATTTCAGAAAACGCCGTCCAACCACATTGTCACATCACACTGAAGTGCACACGCGAGGTGAGTGACTCCTTCCGGCCCGATCTTAATTTAGATCCAACCTTGTGCAAGAGGAGAGAGTCTGAGATTTGCTCGATAGAGACATGTTAAGTGCGGCGAGAAAGAAACGAAAGAAAAAAACAAAACAAAAGAGACACCAGTAACAAACTGTCGACAGCTCTTGTATCTCCTATACTTAGACATCTTAGTGAGCGAGATCGTTATCCGTTCCTAAATTTACAGATCGCCGGCTTCAATGGCCTGAGTGATGCCTTGAAGAGGCTGGATTTCCTGTCCGCGGTACACGATTGCCGTCGATTTAATTACATCGTTCGTCTTCTGGATCTTCTGGTCAGTCATAGAATGGGTGGTCTCAGTGGATGTGCTCAGAGAGTGCTCTTCAACATGCTCGAAGAAGTAGCCCTGGAAGGTAAAAAGATTTCGTTAGCTCGTCTTTAGATGAATCTATCGCGAAAGTTTAGCGATTCCGCGAATACACTTTCTCGAAAGAGGAGGACAAATGCTGTTCATGATAAACTGACCTCTGCTTGGATTATTTGCAGTGTCACTATCACAACAACAAACGGGAAGGCTACGGCGCCTTATAGAGAGAGTTCGGGCTTTCAGCGCCGGTTGCTGTTGGGGCGGCAGGCCCTTGGGTTCTGTTATCTTATGGGAGAAGCATAAGGCGGCCCTGGAGAGAATCTTGCAAATCGCCTCATCTATTACCATCACTCAGGTATATAACGTATTCAAAAGTTAGCAAAAGGATTTAACACTTTCAAGGCAATTCAGGATTGTAACGAACGAGTCGTTGCAGCCGGACGAGCAACAGCAACCTCAGTGGTCGGACCTGCCGCCCGAATGCCGGCGAGAGGTCCTCCTACGCCTAAGCGATCCGCGAGATATCGAAGCCTCGTCCGAGGCCTGTGAGTATCTCGCTGTTTTGGCGCAGGAGCAGAGAATCTGGCGCGAGCTCGCCCAATATCACTTTACGCCACAGCAGATCGCTACCACCACACAAAACAATCCTGGAAAAGACTGGAAGACTATATTCACTATCGCCCGAAGGTTACTATATACATTTTTCTATACGAGAATGCTGCAAATATCAATTTAATATTTTAGAAATTTATGATCATTGCTGTATGTATTTTGTTTGTTTTGTCCAGGTCGTTCGGATTGCGGGAGGAGTATGCCGAAATGATACAGTTATGCCGCAATTGTCGTTGCTTGTTTTGGCGATCGCTGGGCCATCCCTGTATCGCGGATCAGGATCCGGCATTTCAAGAAAAGCTGGCGGACGTCGATCAGGCGTCCCTCCACGTACCGATTCCTCCGCAGACCTTCCTAAAATTCTTCTCGCTGTGAAAACTTTCGCGATACGATTGTATTGTAAGAATGTGCGGAATGTATGCAGAATGTATGTATAAAAAAAAAACGAAAGCGGTGATGTAACTGCTATTGTGAATGCTTGAAAGAAAGAAAGAGATTCAAACGTTACCTTCTGAAAAATATATTTAACTCGAGATACTCTCTTAATACGTGCTATATGGGAAAAATAGAGATCGATATTAGGAATACATTCTTTGAGAAGTTTGATATCAATCTTGCTTTAACAAATATCTTTAACTGGAGGCCTATATTTTTGTCTGCTTCATGAATGTTTGAAGAACTGACAAGCCGCCCAGAGCCAGAAAAATACAAAAGTTATCCAATGCGCAGATATCTTTTAAAGTTTACTTGCTCCATTATTAGTGATTCATTCAGCTTTTTGTTAAAGGAAAATCGATTCTACATTCTGTCTGGCTACATAACTAATATTTCCTATTACTGATTTCCACTTTCTCGAGCTCATTTTGTATCTTGATCGAATGATTGGTATTTTCTGGTCAATGGAATCTCCGGTGTAATACAAGATTCCCGATCTGCTTTTCTTTGCTTTGAGATTCCTATGGCGTGGATACGCATTCTAAGAATGATAAGAGAAGGTTTTTCCATTATCCTTCGAGTTACGGTTGTAGAAAATAGATACTAGTCGTATAATGTTGTTTGCGGTAAGAAAAAAAGTCGTCACGCGCGTCTGTTCAAGAAAATCGCATAAGGATTTTATCGATTTACGCTGACAAGCTTTCGGTGTTCGAAGCGGATAACGACTACGTGTGATTTTGCGGTAGCACTCTTTGAGATCCACTGATTTTGCTGATAACATCAGCGAATAATCAGTTGATAGTATCAGTCTGTCTTTATCGATTTAAACGATATTTGTTATGCTAATGAAATGTATTTCGAAACACATAGGTTTGACGTTTTGCAGCGCGAAAGAGACTTTCTCCATCTTAACATGAAGTGTTATTTAGAACAGGCTCAATTCTAATTAAAATAGAAATTTAATTTTCTCGTGGTTGCATTATTGTGCGAATTATAAAAACATTTTAAAAATTAGATTATTTTTCCTATAAAATATCAATGAAGACAATCGAGTCTTTTCGAAGAATATTCTCTTCCTCCGTCGTTACAGAATCATTTTGCCGACAATGCACACGAAAAATTGATGAAAAAAACCGTTGTATCATACGTAAGCGCGTATTTAAAATACGATGCATACTCATCGATGCAACGGAGAAACACAGCTTATATTTCTTAGACCTTCTAGACCGTTTTTGGTGCTATTTACAGCTCTATTGCATTTTGGATTTGCATTTAGATTATTAAGCAATGTGAATTTTTATTTTTTATATTGTCCAACGGCAGAATATTTATCGCGCTATTTACAATAATCATTGCGCGCGTCGACTTTTATTTTACCATAATTTATAGACTTCACTATTTTTGTGCAATATTCTTATGTATCGTATTCTTTCTATATCTTCTTTTTCTTTTGTAGCATTATTTTACGATGCAATAACGTGAATTGTAATAAAATATTCACAATTTTCGGCCAAGCTATTAATAGAAAGGTCTCAGAGATCTTCTCTGATCGTAGAACGATATCGCTATCGTGAGTCTCAAGAGGATAATTCGACTGTTGTTTGGATGTTGTGATGAAGATGTACATTAAGTAACTTACAAAGTACAAAATGTAATCATCATTATCAATTGCGACCGCAGATAAATCGCGGAGTCCTGTCATCGCCTATACAGGGTGTCGTAGTTGAAGCAATACAGAGATAACATATATTTGAACTTTTGCATTCTGTATGTTTCTTTTGAAAAAAGATTCTATATTTATATACATTACTTATCGCGTGAGTTTGTGCGCATATGTATTCGTTTAGCTGTAACGGTAATGTGGATTTCTAAAAAAGACCTAAGTTACGATATGATATATAAGAAAAAAAGAAATTATACTATTACTAAATCGGAGAACGGAAAATTATACTGCCAAAGCGGATGCTATTGCATTTACACGAATCGATACGTCGTTTGTGTAAATTTCCGTATAGCGATGAGACGTTTTTTTGATATTTGCTGTTTTATTATTAGCGAAAACTTAAATTTACTGCATGACTTAAATATACTAACCTAGTCACTAAAGACAGAATGACCAAAATCGCGGTTTGAGCGCAGTATTAATGTCTAATAAGCTCGATTTGAGAAAATTCTGGCAGCTCACACTGTGTATATTAATTCAACGAACTGGTCTCTGTAAGATATATATAAAGCGATCCTATGATCAGAATTATTTTACTTACATAAGCAGATGTGTAGAACGGTGTTGTGCAAAATGCTTCAAAATAAACTTTATTTAAATATATATATATATACACATGTAATTATTGGTCAAATTATTATTTTTACAGTATATAACGAGCATTTTTTAATTATGATATTTATTAAAAATATCTCTATTTTTTTTTTAATGAAAAATTTTCTTATCTAAGAAATCGATAAATTAAATGGATATTAAAGTTATCTTTGATGATTGTAATATTCGATTGATAGTATTTTATTTAAAAAAATATATAATCACCGATTTGACACGCAACAGGCTGCACGTGTTTCTCTTAATATCGAACTTAAACTTAATTTTTAATATAAAAATTAATTCAAAGAAATATAAATAAGAAATTAATTTCTAGTCCAATATTAAAAGAAACGTGTGTAGAACTTGTTCATGCGTTACGCATGCGTGCATATGTCGATGTATATGTAATTAAAGCAAATTACTTAATAAGCATTTTTTTATGAAGAATATATTCCGAACAATATATGATATATATTGTTTAGAATATACTCTTCATAAAAAATTGCTTATTAAGTATTTTTCATATTAATATGTACACAAAAATCATGGCAGCGGTCTTTTCAATCCGCCTCGACGATAATATCGGACATGTCTGGTAATGAATGAATTTTTAATGTTTTCTCATTCGCAAGATGTAACAGGGATATAAAAGAAATCGGCACGCTCAATGCCTCGACATTGGTTTTTGTTAATAATTTCGGTAACATCTTGTAAATATCATTAAACTGTTTGCTGTTCTTCATCATGTTCGCTTCGGAGTTCTCCGCCTCGTTATTTATTAAGTCAACGTTATTATTCGTACACAATTTCCATATAGCTTTTTTCAATTGTCGCATATCGATCTTTTTTGCTTTCAGGCAGTACGCAATGGATATTTTATTAGCTAGTTTAGGCGCGGCGACCAAATTGTCGCCGATAAAGTTTTGGCTACTTAACGCAATAGCATCGTCTTCAAAGTTACAATCGTCCCTACCTCCTTCTTCATAATCATCGTCATTATTTGTATCAGGACAATATTCTAATGTATCATTTGGATTGTTGTAATCGTATCTCTCGTTGTCTGACACATCCACGGCGGCTACCGCGTTATTACTACCCTCTTTTCCATTGTTTGGCGGCTTCAAAATCAGTCTTGGATTCAAGTACAGTTTTATCATTTGCACAATATCGTAATGCACATCTTCCGGTAATATTAAGTCTTCGGTGTTCCATTCTGTTTTCGCGGTCTTGGCTTGTAATTTATTAGACTGACTCAGCGCAAACTTTGCATCAATCACATCGCAATTCTCGTCATACGACAATTCGATCTGTCTTTTCTTTCGCAGCGGAGCTTGCATGCAAGCTCTTATCACTTTACTGCTACCGGCAATGTCAGTGGAAGGTCTCATAAAATTTCGAAACTTCCAATGAGACGGGCCGGCCCAATGCAAATTCATGTTCGGCTGGAGAAAGGAATATTCGAATGTGTTTGTCTCTGATATCTGAACATTGCGCACGTCCAGGATATTCTCGCTACGTCGTTTCGCTGCCTCTTGGTAACATCCATAAGTATTATTGTCGTCGTGCTGGAAGTCAAAGTAATTCATTGGTTCAGGTAATGGATTGTTATCATCACCAGGTTCCACGCTCGCGTCCAAATCGAAATGGAATTGATTACTCTCATCATTATGTTCGGCTTTTTCGGCCAGATTCTCTTCCGGCTCATCTTCCATGGACCAGTCGAGAAACTCAAAGTTCGAATATGCACAAGTTTCAAGATTCGAGAAGTCACCGATTGTCGGTATACTGTATTTTATATCTGAACTGTTTTGTAATCTGGATTTATTCTCTATAACGTCAACGAACACATCGTTATATAGATGCTGATAAGCGCCGGAATTTGCATGATGCGGCAGTATGGCTTGATATAGCATGTCGCTGGTTTGCAAATCTCCCTCGCCTATCATCATCGACATAGGTTTTTGGATTTCGATATTGCCTCTTAGAGCCTCTACAGTGCTAAAAATCTTTTGCTTGGCTTTATTTTTCTTCTTCTTCTTTTGCACTGCTACATTCGTTTCTGTATCTTCTGCGTCTTCTCTAAACTCCTCCGCATTTCGCTCCATATCGTCGACCGCTTGTTTATCCAATCCGCCCACTATTTTAAGTATTTCGGTATGCACGCTATCTACACGGAATCCGTAGATCTTGGTACTCACATCCAAGGATGTACTAGCTACTTGCAGATTCGACATATTGGCGTCCTGCTTCTTTATCATATATGTCATAAAATCGATCATTTCTAAACTAAACGCATTCTTAATGTTGATCTTGTTCTCGGCGTTCAGTTTGATGCACTGAGTTATGCTTTCGGCCATTTGAGGTGCCGGGATATTCGCTAAGAATCCCAGGCCAAGAGAGTGTCTTTTGTTAGTGGGCGTATTGCTAAGTAATGGCGTTGACGTCAAAATCTCACGTCGACGAGCAATACGTTCCGCTTCATCGTCGTTTACCGAGAGATCAGTTATGGGTGGATTTTGAAAAGAAACAGACTTTCTTCGCAACGAAGAAGACGGTGAATTTTGGTGCACCACGGACTCCAGCCTCTTATTTGTTATAGGCTTACAAGACTCCATGTTGTTATATAAAATCTATAACTTTATGGACTGGTACTCTATGTATCTTTTTTCAAATCGACTCTTGCATTCCTGGAAGAAAGTAAGCACACATTTATTTCGATCACTATGATAATAAAATAGAATCACTTATTCTTATATTATACATCGTACATTTATAATATTTTTCTAGTTTCTGCCTAATTCCATTTTTTTTCTGTAATACAAATCATATACAAAAAATGTAACTAGAGAATAATAAGAATTATTTCTTTCTAAATTGTATCACAAATACTGTTTATATGAGAACAACTTATATTAATCAAAATACAAAGACTGTAGAAAGTATGAGACAACAAATTTATGTCTATAGATTGCATTTTTATGATATACCAAATAAAATATACTGTGCACCATAATTACTCCATTTGGATCTTATTAATCTAATTATATATATTTCATTCTTAAAGGTTATAATTATAGCATAAACAGTTTTGATTAATACCATAGACTTCAGCGATAATCAATGAGAAATTTCATGCATCAAATAAACCATATTTTAAATTTTTGAATAACTAACATTAAATGCTATTACGATCACTAATGAGTAAAATATACACTATGCATTATGATATAGAAAATTATTCAATTATATCATATATCTTATCATTATATGCTTTTCCGACAAAAGTTTCTGACATAAGTGGCAAGCCATGCAAAAATCATTCAGTATTTAATGCGTGTTAAATCACAATAATTTTTATCTCCTAATGATATTATATCAACAATATAATCGTTAAATAGATAGTTTCTTTTATCCCTGAAAAATTATGCTCCATTTTTGGATATAGTTAGATATAAAATAACTATATCCATAATGAAAAATATTTTTATTCTATAAAGTAGAACACATATTGTCTATGTAATAGTTAATCATATACATCTAAATATTACTTACTCCCCACTATTTATAGCAATGAAATTATTTGCTATCTTTTCGAGATCGCCCCTAATCATTCGTAACAGAGTATAATAACGCTGCAGTTCCTCGTGAGTTTTTTGCAGGACTTCTAACGTGCGTTTACTATCCTGGGAAGGCATCAGGTATCTCACGATATATGTGTAAGATATTTAAACATTTCAGTTAGTATACTATAATCGTCTACGTTTCTCTCTACAACTTGTCCGCCACTTGCTAGTACTTGTTAATATCGTAAGGGACAGAAAAACAACATCGACAACAAAAACTGCCCAATAATAAACCAAATAAGATAATTCAAATATTTTACGAAACGGTTAAAACATAACGTCACCGAATGTTCCTAAAGTCAGTTGATCTGGACCATTGAGTGTAGATTGTTCGAAAACCTACTCGTGGAGTGGAGTAGCTTTTGGTTGACCAATCAGAGCAAAGATTCCTTTGCTCTGATTGGTCAATCGAACGCGCTTCAAGATATTTTCGATCGAGCGCATCGTATCTAGATATTCATGTATCATGATTTAGAATTACTGACTGGAATCTGGGACTGTCTCGTTTATGTTTGCACTCTTTTCTTCGCTCTTTCTCTCCTTTCAATACGCGAATATACATTCATCCCATCTCTAGTGCAAAAAGTTTTGAAGAATGAGTGCAAAACGAGTCAAAGACAGATCTACAATTTGGCATTTGCATTTGACGAAAAAGATTAAAGAAAAAGGAGATTAAAAGAAATTAACAAATTTTGCGATATTAAATAGATAGTGTTAGTACAAATATTAGAATTTAATATTGATTTAATTAACAGCAGATTTTCTTTAAGATTCACAAGCAAAAACTCCAATATAAAATTAGCGGGAGTTTCGTTTGCGGTCTTTCATGTATAGATGTTTTGAATTACTTTGTTAATTATTTCACTAATAAACGCTTCTTTTATAAGCGAATATTATTCTAACTATAAAAAAATATATTTTCATATTCATCATCTTGAGAGATTAAATTTGAATGTCAAATTTGCGTAATTAGACTTTGTTATTTTAGCGAAATGTCTGATAAAAAAATAGTAAATCGCATTGTTGCCTTCAGTAAAGAGGAATATGATGAATATCAAAAATCCTTTTCATCAGAAAAAGAATGGCCTGGTATTAATGTCAATGCTGGTAAGGATGAAATATAATGAAATATTTATATAGCTAGGATTTACATTTGCCCGAATATAACAATGTTTTTCAATAAATTTGTTATTTCAGATTCACGAATGACATTAAACATACCAATGCTCATTATGGAGCTATATCGATTAGTACCTTATAAAGAAGGTCGTTATGTACATTTTCATCCGTTCAATATGCCTTATATTAAAGTACGTAAAATTGAGCTAGTTGGAATTGTTACAAATGTTAAACGCAATGTCAATAATTTGTTTTTAACAAGTAAGGCAAGAGGCATGATAAATGATAATTTTAATAATGAACAAGAAGAGATATCTAAACTTCTGCAGTCTTATTGCAGTTGAGGATGGAACAGGAGTGGTAGAGATTAATTACAAATTGGAACAATATCTGTTTCTATTGAAACAACGACAGGAGATTGATGAAAAGTACAGGAACCAAGCTGAAACGTTAAGAGAAACAAAAATAGTCAAAAATTATCCAAAGAAATTTCCTGAAACACGTCCAGAGTTCACTTATCCATGTAATACACCCTTACAAGATGTAGCTGTAAGTTTGAGAACAATTATGTATATGAATGCAAGTCATCAAATCATTAGGTTTCATGTATATAATGAACTATCTCACATATTTCAGTTATTTTTACTTTTATACATTGTTGATTATTAATAGGACTTATACTATTGAAACTAAATACAATAGAAAAGCATATTACTGGAAAGATTATTTGTTGCAACTGTATAGATATATAATACAATAATTATTTTTAATAATAGATACTGGAAAACAAATGGTGGTTGGAAACAAACAGTGGTCTATTGGGTAAAAAAATTGAACCTTTTGATCATGTTTATGTTACTGGATATCCTTATTTTGATACAAAATTTCAAAAGATACCGGAAGAGATCACAACAGAATTTATTGAACATGCAAAACTGACTGTGTTCGCACTATCTGTCACATGTATTTCTGAGGAGATTTACAATAAAAAATTATCTACATGGATAAGCAACACTATTCGCCAAAGATACAAGGAGGTAGAAAAAAAAGTTTACATTGCAAAAAAATAATTACTATCTGCAAGATAATTGTGCTATCTTACTTTAGCGATATATTATTATTGTGTGTGTATTACAATAATATTATTCAATTCAATGGAATTATACCAGCTTTAATTCCTATTACAAATCAGATGTTTTTCAGCTATATTTGCTGCACTTTATTTTTTTCCTTTTTCTTTCCAAAACTCGAATATATATTTGCATTTATTTCATTCTACGTGTAGAAACCTCACTATTCGCCAAAGATACAAGGAGGTAGAAAAAAAAGTTTACATTGCAAAAAAATAATTAATATCTGCAAGATAATTGTGCTATCTTACTTTAGCGATACATTATTATTGTGTGTGTGTATTACAATAATATTATTCAATTCAATGGAATTATACCAGCTTTAATTCCTATTACAAATCAGATGTTTTTCAGCTATATTTGCTGCACTTTATTTTTTTCCTTTTTCTTTCCAAAACTCGAATATATATTTGCATTTATTTCATTCTACGTGTAGAAACCTCAACAAATATTGTTACAGAAAAACAAACAGATCCAAGTGATTTTGAGAATAAAACATAATTTATAGACTGATAAATACAGCACCTAGTGCTGTCCTTTCTTAACAGCTGTCAGTTATCTAACTCTGCCCTCTCTCTCTTTCTCTTCTTAGGGTTCTTGCACATAGGACGCATGAACGCGTTACACTTACAAATAAGCGACGGGCCAGCCAATCAACCTTTCACTCTTACGGACAAGCTGTAAATAGATTGGCTATCGCGTCGCTTTTTCGCACGCGTAGCGCGTTGACGCGTTCTGTGTGCAAGAGCCCTTATCCTTCTTCCAACTTTACCGCCTCCACCCTCCACCGCGAGAAACCGTGCGGTGTGTGCGGTGTGTCATTTTTGCTCGACGACGCGCGAGTGTACGTTCGAAGTGCACGCTTTCCTTTATCGTAGGATGGCCGCGATGCTGTCCAACTGTTCGCGTTTCGCGCCTCGCGTAATTACGCGGAGTAGCGTGTTACGGGCCAAGGTAAGATTACGTGCAGATGTTCCGGCTTTCCCGCTTTCTCTATTCCTCTTCGCAACACACGATCGACTGCTGTGATATTTATACCGCTCTCCCCGAGATTAAACTGCCGAGGAGCTTTCGTCGAATTGCGGTTTCGAGATTCGTCGAAGCATCTCCAATTTTTTCTCTCACCGCGACGACGATTACATAATAATATATACATACATACATATCGCTCGACGACACCTTCGCGGTTCATGCGATCTGTCAATTTAAAAATTTCTCTGCGAGGAGTCTCCTTAATCGAGACTGGTCGATGAACACGTGGATATCGTGATTAATTATTTCGATCGTGAAGATGCGAGGCCGAAGGTGTGCTCTCTCTTTTTGTCTTTCTCTCTCATAGTGGAACAATGACTATTTTTATCTTCGGCCTTATGTGTCAGAGAGTATTTCATAAGATTAAAATCGTCTGTTTTTCTGACTGAACCCGCCGCTTTTCTTTAGATTGTCGTCATGTCGAATATGTGTCTTGCAACATTGCTGAAATAAAATTAAATCAATTCATTCTTTTTGCAGGTCGCGAAATCGTTGTATAGTCAAGGTAAGGTTAATTGGAGATATATTAAGACAAGATATAATGAAGACTGAGAGAGTAGCAACTATGAAAAGAATGATATCGATTGAAAGAAATCCATTGGAACAGAAAACTATTAACTATATCAAATTATTCTTATAGGGCGCACTGTAATTATCCATGCGGAACATATGCCCAATGTCAAAACTTTATTGTAAGTAACATTGTGTGTGCATTATTTTGCATTTATATATATTTTTGCTTTTAAAATGTACTGTTGTATAGAAGTTTAATAACACGCATATGTCTGGAAACCTTAGTTTTTCGATGCTGTGCTAATTGTTTTTGATTCTTCAAAAATGGAACAAAGATAAAGTAGGAAAGATCATAAAGTGTTCTTTTGCCTGTAGATGTAGAAGATATAAGGCAAACTGTTATTGGGTAAATCGAGCGAGACATATACATTCAACTTCAGCGTTATGTAAGTACAATATTTTTAATCTGAATTATGTTTTTCAAAAGTCACATATAATGAAGATTCGAATTAATCTATTTTTTATATAATTTATGTTATTTAAATATAGGGGAGATCAAGGAAGTTCTAGTCCCTGCGTTTGCCGAAAGTGTAAGCGAGGGCGACGTGAGGTGGGAGAAGAAGGTTGGCGATCAGGTCAAGGAAGACGATGTTCTTTGCGAAATCGAAACGGACAAGGTACGTATTTCTTTATCATAACACAAAGTAGAAATATATAATCGCAGGATTATAAGAATATTATTTATCAATTATTTAATTATCCATAGACTTCGGTTCCCGTTCCATCACCTGGGCCTGGCGTCATAAAAGAACTCTTCGTTAACGATGGCGATACCGTGAAGCCAGGTCAGAAATTATGTACCATCGACATTGGTGCGAGCGGCGGAGCTGCGGCCGCACCCGCGGCAGAAGCGCCAAAACCCGCTGCACCGGCACCTGCTCCTCCTCCGCCAGCGCCACCAAAAGCAGCAACACCTCCTAGCGCGGCAGCACCTCCACCGTCGCCGGAACCCGCGGCAGCACCGATTCCGCCTCCCGCTGCTAAGCCACCACCTCCGCAAGCACCTATCGCTTCGATGCCGGTCGCGGCTATCAAACACGCGCAGGTAAATGTCAACAACAAATAATTATATGTAGCTTAGCTTTTTAAAAATATTATGACGTTAACGAGAACGGTGTATTTTCAGTCGCTGGAAAGCGCGAAAGTTCAACTACCTCCCGCCGATTACACGCGCGAGATAATCGGCACCAGGACAGAGCAGCGGGTGAAGATGAACAGAATGCGTTTGCGTATCGCGGAACGTCTGAAGGACGCGCAAAACACAAATGCTATGTTGACTACTTTTAACGAAATTGATATGAGGTAATTAATTCCATTGATCAAGTCCTAGATTTTATATTGCTTATAATTTGTATTTAAAGATCTAATTCATGATATTCAACATACTTTATATTATTTTTTACTTAACGTGTGTCGCATTATTAATTTACAGTCGCATTATGGAGTTTCGAAAAACGCATCAAGAGGCATTCACGAAAAAATACGGTATCAAACTTGGATTCATGAGTCCGTTCGTTGCGGCCAGTGCTTACGCTTTAAAAGATCAACCTGTAGTAAACGCTGTAATAGATGGCACCGACATAGTATATAGAGATTACGTAGACATTAGCGTAGCGGTCGCGACGCCCAAGGGACTTGTCGTGCCGGTGCTACGCAGTGTAGAGAATAAAAATTTTGCCGAGCTCGAGATTGCTTTGGCCGCTTTAGGCGATAAAGCCAGGAAAGGAAAGATCACCGTTGAGGACATGGATGGCGGCACTTTCACGATAAGCAACGGCGGTGTTTTCGGCTCGCTGTTGGGAACTCCTATCATTAATCCGCCGCAGAGTGCGATTCTCGGTATGCACGGCGTCTTCGATAAACCAATCGCCGTTAAGGGACAGGTAAAGCTCAGCGAAATCCTTATTAAGATTCGTCAATTTCTAATGTTTGTAATTATAATTTCTGTTGCAAAATCATTGTCGATTAACAAACACTTTATATATTCCCAGGTTGTCATTAGACCAATGATGTACATAGCTTTAACATATGATCATCGATTGATCGATGGACGCGAGGCTGTAATGTTCCTAAGAAAGATCAAAGACGCCGTAGAAGATCCTAGGATTATTTTGGCTGGCCTTTAATAACGTGGAACACACGTTTGTCGCGCATGTGTTGACAATTTTTATAATCATCGTAAATAAGTAAGAGCGCGACGCGACAGTCTATAAAAATTCTCGGCAGGGAGTCTTCCCGCTTCGGAAACCTTATCATTGAAGCGTTAAGAAACGTTTCGATGTTTCGTTTCGAATCTATCAATCTCTATAAGCTGAACATGGGATAATGTGGCAAGTGCAGTCATAAATAACGATAAGCATGCTAGTCCTATGTTTATAATTTTGAATTCTTACAGTGGAAGTATAATGAGTCGCCTTTACTTATGTTAACCTAGCTATATTGAACGATTTTTGTTGTCGGAATTTTTCGATACGGCGATCGCTCAATGTGATTGCATAATATCGTTAGTCATGTTTTACGCACGAAATGTCGCGGTACCACGAACACATATTTTTATTCTCTTCGTACGCATCACGCTTGATTTGGCAGAGATGTGAGCGCAGACGGAAGTCGAGCTAGAAAGTACTTTATTAGATGTAGATCAAAGCTAAAATAAAATCTCACCAATCTAAATGTTTAGCATTGTTGAATTGCGACCATGAGTATATTATACGTAACGCGATTTAATAGATCTTTAAAAATTCAACAGTGATATATTATAATTTGCACTTGTACATTATATCGAGTATCTCTGAATCTGTTCATTGGAAACTTTTCTGCACTCTAAGAAAAGCGGGATATTAGCGATCTCGTATAGATCAAAATTGTTTTTAAATAAAAGAAAGGAACCAGTGTGGGATATATGTGTTTTTGTAGCATAAAGTGTGGGGCATTTAACGATACGTTAACGGATACACTGCCAAAATCTGTATGAATTTTTCGAAATATCACTAAATTGAGACGAAAATCTGCACGAATAAAGATACGCTGCATTGATAACAATGTTTGTCATTGATACACTGTACAATATTCTTATGATTATGTCTTTATATTGTTAATATTCAATGAATCGTGAAATGTGTGAATATCTTTAGTCTCATTGTAAAATACGTTGTATATTATTCGATATTCCGTGTATTAATGACGAAACGCGTATAAAGCACACTAATTAAATCTTGTGTGAATTTTGTATCATTTCAATAGTACTAGGATTAAAAAAGTTTTTGAACATTGCTAATAATAAATAGTTAATATATTATGCAATATTAGCTAACGACTGTAATTAAATTTCTCTTACGATAATTCCTTATTATTTATGTCAGAAAGTCATTTTGAATATAATCTTAGAAACGAGGAAAGATTTGAGACATTGTCACATTTCTCAAAGCAATGCATTTGTTCTAGTGCCTGGAAATTAAATATATTTTATTCTATTATATTTTTCTAGTAAACCTGAAGAATTTTATTAAGTGAACAGAAAGAAGATTTCTTTCTGTTTGTATATTTATTTTATCCGCAATCGAGATTCGGTATCGATTGGAACGAGATGGTGGGAAAATCGATATCCTCCTATCGACAGCGCACGGTCGAATCTTGGCGAATGACTTCGCCCTTTCGAGGAACAGTCAAGCGTTGACAAGAAATGGTGAGTCCGTCAAAATTTTAAAAAAGAACTATTATTATTTATTGCTAAAGCAATGTTTCCGTTATTTAGCATGATGAAAAATAATTACTGTTGCTAATGTTAAATTTTTTTTGCATTTACACTACTTTATACTTTTTTAGGTTATAACTATCTTTCAAATGTTAGTTTATTTTCAAATTTTTATATAAAAGAAATTTGTGTAATAAATCAGTTGGATTTGTTCGTAAAACAAATATTTCTCGTCATATAATAAATTAATGTTTATTAGCAATAGTTGCTATAAAAATTTATTGTTCGAAAGAATATTTTATAATTTTCCTCAAATAATTTAATGTATATATTTTTATTGATATATACACGAAATTTTGTGTTGCACTATTTTTAAATATGATAAACGTAATAAAATTTTAATAGGGTCAAAACCAATCTGGTAGTGGTGGTAGTGGAGGGGACAAAAAGGATGACAAGGATAAGAAGAAGAAATATGAACCACCAATTCCCACGAGAGTGGGTAAAAAGAAGAGACGTACTAAAGGACCAGACGCAGCTCTGAAACTGCCTCAAGTAACTCCTCACACACGTTGTAGACTGAAATTATTGAAGCTGGAACGCATAAAAGATTATCTATTGATGGAGGAGGAGTTCATCAGGAATCAGGAACGCTTGAAGCCGCAAGAAGAAAAAAACGAGGAGGAAAGATCGAAAGTGGACGATCTTCGTGGAACACCAATGTCTGTTGGAACATTGGAAGAAATAATAGATGATAATCATGCAATAGTGTCCACTTCAGTTGGCTCTGAGCATTATGTGTCCATCTTGTCATTTGTGGATAAGGATCAATTGGAACCTGGTTGTTCTGTGTTACTAAATCATAAAGTTCATGCTGTTGTTGGTGTGTTAGGAGATGATACAGATCCTATGGTTACAGTAATGAAGCTTGAAAAGGCTCCTCAGGAGACCTACACTGATATTGGAGGTATATTATATATATTTATCTATATTTATACTCTGATAAATCCGTAATTAATATTTTATTAAAATTGTTGAGACATTCATGATTTTTAGTTTGAAGCTTTTAAAAATAATATAAAAAGGCTTTCAACTAAATTTTTTTAGTAGGAATTTAATTTAAAATTTAAATATAAAAAACAACTCAACAAATTAAAAAAAAAAAAAGATCTGCATTTGAAACAAATTAAATGTAAAAATATTAAAGAATAATTGGCTATATTATTGTTTCCAGGTCTTGATACTCAAATTCAAGAGATTAAAGAATCTGTAGAACTACCATTAACCCATCCAGAATATTACGAGGAAATGGGTATTAAACCTCCAAAGGGTGTGATACTTTATGGACCACCTGGAACAGGGAAGACACTGCTTGCTAAGGCTGTAGCTAATCAAACATCAGCTACATTTTTGAGAGTTGTTGGTTCTGAACTTATACAAAAATATCTAGGTGATGGCCCAAAGCTTGTGAGAGAACTCTTCAGAGTTGCTGAAGAGCATGCTCCCTCTATTGTCTTTATAGATGAGATAGATGCAGTAGGAACAAAGAGATACGATAGTAATAGTGGTGGCGAAAGAGAGATTCAGAGAACTATGTTGGAATTGCTTAATCAACTTGATGGTATGTTAACTTCTAATACAAAATAGATAAAAATATTTTTTTAAGTACATATTTAATATTAAACGAGAATTTTTGATTATTAGGTTTTGATAGCAGAGGCGATGTGAAAGTGGTTATGGCTACCAATAGAATAGAGACCTTAGATCCTGCTTTAATCAGACCCGGTCGTATCGATAGAAAAATAGAATTCCCTCTACCAGATGAAAAAACCAAAAGACGAATCTTCAATATTCACACGAGCAGAATGACTTTGGCACCTGATGTGAATCTTGCAGAGTTAATCATGGCAAAGGATGATCTCTCTGGTGCAGATATCAAGGTAAGAAATTCTATTAAAAAGTTACTTGCATTATGTCCTGTTTTTGTACAAATTTATTTTTTCATTATTTTATTATTTATTTAAAATATGTATAAAATGTTTAGGCAATATGTACCGAAGCTGGTTTAATGGCTCTACGTGAACGTCGTATGAAGGTTACTAGCGACGATTTCAAGAAGTCTAAGGAAAGTGTACTGTATCGAAAGAAAGAAGGTTCTCCTGAAGGATTATACTTATAAAAACATTCGTTATTAATGGTTTTCTGTATGATTGAGTCCATAATTACTCAAACTTCTAAATAAAAATTTATATAGGGAAATTAATTTTTACAATAATGTATTTACAAAAGTATTACGTAGTTTTAATATTTTTTTTATCTAACCAATATTATTTGTTATAAATGCTAAAATCTGTCTACTTTAAAGAATTAAATAGTTATATTAGTCTCAATGCCTGATTTCTTTAAGATTGGTTCAAAATATTCGTGTAGCCTATTTATTACTGCTGTAGAGTGTATTCTCTGATTATTTAGGATTTCGGAAAATTGAATATCCTCATATGTATTGGAAGTTTTGTTTTGTGATTCCACACTGCATATCCAACATGCACCTCGTCTAGTTTTATCGAGAACAGTGGCTACATCCGCAGGATGTTTTAAAGTAGGTGATAAAATAGTAGCCAGACTTTTGCATTTTCCCAATTTAAAAGCTGTCTCAAAACCATCTTTATAACCTATATCAAATCCTTCTTGTAGCACAGAGTCCGCTCCGTCCTGTATTCCTTCTCTATAACCAGTCTAAAAAAATGCTTATTAAGTATAGAATACAATATTATGATGCAAACACACAAGTATCAAGTCATGTTTATAACCTCAACATGTGATTGTCAAAAAATTTCATGTACCTTGATAGCAGCATTCGTAATGCGTCCCCAACATTTTGAAGCGATGTATAAAGAATCGTCTTCTGCCGAATATAAATCGTGTTCTGTCGTTTTTATTAAATCTTCCATTTTTTATAATTATGTATATGTATATAGTAAGATATATATTCGTATATCTTTAATCCTCCATCATATCATGTATTTAAAGAAAGGATTATAAGACTGTGATAGTAAATCACAGCGACTATACGTTTACAGTCAGTATATATTGGCTGCGTTCTGCGTTTCGATATTCACTGCCAGTACTGAAAATCTATAGTTTATGTCACGTGCACTATAGATTTTTTTTTTTAGCTAGCAGTGAATATCGAATATTGAAACGCAGCCATTGTAAAGTATAAGTACAGTATAAAATTAAAAAAATGGAATTTGCCATGAATATTGCAGCCGAATAATTTATATTCACATAATATAAATATAAAATAACTCTTCTTATATTGATATATACATAACAATTCTTACGCATTCAAGAGTTGTAAATCTCACTATTTAAATTTATAAAAAATTATTCAAATATCTATTTGTAACCCGCGCACATACACACACATACTGGATGTTAAGTGATTAATTTCGAGAAATTGTTTGATATATACATATTTTACTTTCTAAAGAATTGTATTAATTTCAAGTTTTATAAATTTTCTTGAAAAAAAAAAAAGAGGAGAAAATGTCCTACTATTTAAGCAATTACTTTAAACTAAACTGTAAACATACTTAACTTAAATATGTATAAAAATAAATCAGGCTTATCGTAAACAGTGTACCATGGATGTAAAAATATTCCAATAAAGTTCGAATTTTTGCATATGACCGCATCGACTAGCACTTGCGATTTTGAGCTTGCAATTTTCGACGATCTTCTTTTTGCACGAGATATTTGCAGAATATTATTAAAAATAAAACAAAATAGCAAGGATGTAAAAAAAATCGTCTCTGAGGTATATTTTAACAATCTCGATATGTTCCAACAAATTCTGTGTTCTAACAAATATTGTTAATGAACACTTTTATCAACGCGTTCGTATATTATCGAATAATGAGGAATATGATACGAATGAAAGGAGACGTTTCAGAAATAGTGTGCATTATTGACGAGGATAAATAAATGTGGCCAGGACACGAAAGAATTCTTCAATCAACTTACTAAAAAAGACGCTTTGTATAATAGAGTGCCGATATATTATCGCGTTTAGATCCTCAAATACATCATCTGGCTTATCCGCGCAAGTGAGATCTAATATGTTATTAGAGCATGAATATAATATTCTATCTCCAAAAAATATAATTTTAAAGAAATAACGCATAAAAGAACTGTATCAATTTAATCTTTTCGATATAAAGTTTTTTTATGTTAGCTATACATCTAGTGATGTCAGAAAATTATAGAAAAGTCTCCTTGCAGATACAAATAAAATTTTTTTTCAGTCTACTTATAGATAGTATAGGGGATTTTATAAAATATATCATTTTTTATAAAATTTTATAAAATATAAAATCCTATATTGAAGATCTTTCGTAAGCAAAATTTCTAATTTTTTTTTGTATCTGCAAGTTTAATTAAAATATAAATTTACTGTAATATATCTGTCATCTTTATATATATGTATATATATAATGTCAATGAATCAATAGCATAAAGATGTTATGAGTATAAAAACATATATAATTTCTTTCTTCAACCATACTTCATATCAAAAATTGAGAAGATTAATTGACATACATATATTAGAAATTGTAATGTATGTTGTAAACGCTAAATCTGTATAACATGGGAGCAATTAAGAGAACTGTTAGTAATTTTCTTATATGTAAAAAAATATCTTTGTTATTAATGCTCTATGTAGATACTATGTATGCTCTACGAATTTTAACATAAAATTAACAATATTTTTATTTATACCCTGTATATGATATAAATAACTCTAACTGTCCAAAAAAATTTTTTATATTATATATCAAAACTTGAAGATTTAAGAAGAGAAAATAATCTATAACAAAATATTAAAATTATTTATCTTGCACTCTTCAAAATAAGTTGGAATCCGACTTGTTTTATTATCAGATACACTTATAATCTTTGTTTCCATAGTAATTTGTACATTTCCATAAGTGTACTCATTTATCAATACAATGGCATCAATGAAAATATATGTAGGTAATGTTTTGCTTTTTTAGAGTATTATCAGTTATCGTCGTTTTTCGAATGTTTTATTACAAATGACTTCATCATATATACCCTAAAAAATTTTTTTGTTTTGTTATAATTCTATTACATTTATATTAAGCATTCATTCACACAACGTTTGTTTCTCTATTGTAAACTTTCTTCTAAATAGAGGAGCTTTCAGATAGTAAGCTATTTTATAAATAATTCCATTGAGAAAATTTATAGTTTTGAAGTACTTTCATTGGTACCACTGAATAGTATAAATATTATATGTCTAGAAGTTTATTAAAAACTCATAAGAATTGCAACCTAAAAAAAAAAAAATCACATCCTTCAAAATCCTGCTGGTAATTCTTAACAAACTTCTGGTTGCATGTATTTTATAAGCATCTCTGTTAATGTAAATTGAAACAAGACGAATTCCATATAAATAATTGTACCATTTTTCTAATATTAATACTTTTTCTTCAGGTTTTAATAAAATATAAATATAAAATATAAACACAAGCAAACATGAATAGTATTACAAAGTTCTATGCTTTACAAGAAGTTCCATTCTGCGCGTTTTTTTTATATTATTATTATCACAGTGATGAATTGTTTTACTTATGTACATTTCGTAAACGCTTCTGATGGTATTTGACCACGTTTGAAGAACTCTTGAAATGCAGAGAATGCATTATCATAGTTCCACTGCATCTCTTCTAAGCACTTTAAACTCCATTCCAAATTCATGTTTGTTTGCTGACTCAATACCACTATCATTTGCTGTTTTACAACTTTGCTTAATTCCGGATCTGTAGATTTCGCTGCCTCAGCAGGCAACAGCTCCGGTGTCTTTGGCTGGATCTGTTGGTTTAGTTGCTTCAGTTGTGCCTCAGATGGCTGACTAATATGCAATTGTTCATTGCGAATACAGTATCCGTCACCTTCCGGAACAATTATGAATGTTCGATTGAAGTGGCGAATAGACTGTTCCTTGTTATCAAGCTCTTGGAAATAGCCTGTTACTGTGATAAACATCATTGTTTGCTGTGAATAAACAAGAAATATAAATTTTATTAATATAAATCTTTATTTTGTGTAATATTTAATATACAAATCATCATCATATGATTTAAATCATTCATTATAATAACTTACTGTAGCAAGTGCAATATCCATAGTAAAAGTATCTAGGAGATGCCTTGTTCGTGGCATTTCTGATATGAAAGAAACTACTGGTAATCTACCATACTTCAATGATTTCTGTCTTTTGACTGTGTCACATATCCTAAATAAATTCCGGCTATTCATGAGATATCGATTTAATCTACAAGAAAAAAAATTTTATTTTATGGCAATTGGACATATATATATATATAGCTATAAAAATATATTATAATACTTAACAAAGAAATAATATCAATGAGACAATGCAATATTCTTTTGGACGCTGCGTAGACACTTACTTGTTAGTATAGGAAGCAGTTATCGTCATACTAAAGTATGCCTGTTCGTCATACGCATCAAGTAGGAATTGACGATTCTCGCTATCCAATATCGTAAAATATTGTTGTAAAAACCGATACGCGATTTGTTGCGCGTTCGTATCAGTAAAAAGTATCTTTTGTGATTTTGGTATTTTTGCAGTGTCAATCACATCGAATACAATTGGTCGTGGTAATTCCGTGTCATCCTTTCAAACAACGCAAAAAGAAATTTGTACCATATGAAAAAGTACATAGTTTTATCGATTTAATCTACAAGAAAAAAATTTTATTTTATGGCAATTGGACATATATATATATATAGCTATAAAAATATATTATAATACTTAACAAAGAAATAATATCAATGAGACAATGCAATATTCTTTTGGACGCTGCGTAGACACTTACTTGTTAGTATAGGAAGCAGTTATCGTCATACTAAAGTATGCCTGTTCGTCATACGCATCAAGTAGGAATTGACGATTCTCGCTATCCAATATCGTAAAATATTGTTGTAAAAACCGATACGCGATTTGTTGCGCGTTCGTATCAGTAAAAAGTATCTTTTGTGATTTTGGTATTTTTGCAGTGTCAATCACATCGAATACAATTGGTCGTGGTAATTCCGTGTCATCCTTTCAAACAACGCAAAAAGAAATTTGTACCATATGAAAAAGTACATAGTTTAAATATGTGTATTTATATAATAAGATACTTACCAAACGCAGCAGGTTTGGAAACCGTTTCCGGATGTCGCTATAAGGTCGAGAAAGAAAAGTCCATGAGTTCCATGTTAATTGTATAATAACAGACATATATGTTTCTTATTATGAAGTAATACAGAAGAAATGATATTAAAGTATGTGCATACGGTATAATATAAAATTAAGTAAATTAACTGCGCAGTAATGTAATCCAAAATAGATTCTTTGTTATAGATTAATATCTAATTATATATTAAAAAACATGCATTTATTAATCTTTTCACACTTTTAATTTAATATCTAAAATTGCTACTTAGGGAATCAAACTATTTGAAAATCTCTAGTTTTAAATAGTACAAAGGTAAATGCAATAATTGCTGCTGCGATTTATTATTCTGTGAATAATACTAGAGATTATTCTCAATCCTGTTTTTTAATAAAAAAAAATTTATATTGGAATAATATATTACCAAATGTATTCATTTTGTTGAGATGTATACTTGTTACAGACAGGGTTTCCAGTCAATTTGAGTTCTTCCAGTTTTAAGTCTTTAATAGCATCTATCTGATAGATGTCTTTTATCTGCATATGTAAAAATATATGATAAAATCGAAGATATGATATATATAATATACAATTTGTATACACTCACTTTGTTATCGCCAATGTAAAGAATTTTCAACTTTGAGAATTTTTTATTTAATTCGCTGAGTTTATTGATGTTAAGCAGCTTATTGCTTTCTAAGTTCAAGACTTCTAACGTTGGTATATGTTCGCCTACGATATCTAACACAGCCATCAATATTGAAGGACGGAATAATGCACAACAATAATCATCAACGAGATCTGTAAGACATACACATAAACTGTAATTTTCGATATTATTTTTAATCTTATAATTTTGTAATTGTATTATTCTAACCAGGATCTTGATGAAATTTTGACAAATCCAAAGCATTTGTTTCTTGCACGTATCTCTTGGATATGACTTGTTTTAGTCGTTCCTTATATTTGTCATTAATCTCGTATTGTGGAAATCCTGGTTTTACTCTCACTTGTAGTTTGAAGCCATCTACCATTGTGATCTTGCGATCACAATTTAGCAATGCGTTTGCTGTCTTATAATCATCAACATAGAAATTGGCTTCGTATGTCGTTATGTTATACTACAAATAAATTTAGGTTTTAGTCACAAAGATTTAGTAATTGTATTTTATATATTCTATTTATTATATTGTAATAATACATGTGTCTATTACTCTATGCAATTTAATGTTTTTGCTTTTATTGCAACTGCATTTAATTATAACATTAGAAAAAAAATCATGATTTAATTGTATTCTTACATCAAAATAAATTCTTAAGTATAGATTGATATGAAAATTTTTGTTAATTTATGATTTCTCATTTATATTATATTTTTATATGCCTGGTGCAAGACTAGAAGTTTTAAATCAACATATTATACTGCTAAATTTTAATGTAATTTAAGATTTCTAGTCTTTCACTGCAAAGTTATATCAGAACTTATCATGAGAATTTTTCAATAATTATCAATATATTATATCAATAAATGTATTGAATAATTGAATATATACTGAATAAAATATAAATTTAAAAAGAAGAAAATTATTTACCATTATTGGAACGAATACTTCAGGTGCCATGTAGCTTAATAGAGAATTTAAAACATAATCTCTTTTATATTTGTGGCCAAATGGTATCTGCAATATACAAACAATATTAGAAGTTCATAAAAAAATTTATCTTAAATCTTAATGTATATGATGTGTATTACGTAGCATACAAAATATCACTTACGCTGATTCTATACCAATTGCATTTGTTAACTATAAACTGTAATCTAGGTCCAAATTGGATTCCTTTGAAGTTCCTGTTTCCATATGGAGGATTGTTTCTTTCTCGAGAAAATGATTTCTCCAAAAACCTGTTAAATCTAATCTTAAATGATGGCTGGATGCAAGGTCTGGGTTCTCCCAAATTAATTCCTTTATTATTTCTTCCCATATGATCATCATGACCTATGAACAAGTAACAATTTAAGTTATACAAAACAGTAGCTATATATTCAGATATGAAGCAGTTACTTTGAACATTAGAGATATCTTTAATATTATTTTTCAATGGCTTTAGTTTATACAAAGCACATTTAAATAAAATCCACCTTATTGACTCTTGACATTAATACTGTAATATTTTATTACATAGAGTGTGCATAAAACTTGTATTAAATTAATCACAATGTGCATACTTCTAATGCACAAAAATGCTTTTTCTTTTGTTTAAAATATGTACTTGCAAACCAATTTGGCATTTTTTTTCTTCAATTAGTAGTCATTATTTATACATAAGTTTGCTTTATTAATTCGTGTAATTTATGTGAAAGAAAATATTTATGTAAGTTATGTACATGAATATGAAAGATTTTCTTATGTAAGAAAAAAAGTTTCTATCCAAAGAATCTTAAAAAAATAATAACTTTAAGCGTAAAAAAAGATAAAGAAATACAAGAGATTTGATTTGAGAGATTAATGTATCGATAAATTAGTTTAATGAATCCGCGAGATCTGTTGAAAAAATGTAAATACATTTATAAGCGGTAGTTGCACGAAAATTGCGCGTAATAAAATTAATCATCTAGAATTGTTCACAAAATTGGGAAGAAACAGAAAATCTTTGATAACTTACTAATGATATAACGCCTATCCTCGAAAGGAGCAAGACTGTTGCGATCAGTCCAAGATTTATTCAATTTCCTTGACATTTTTCTTCAAATATCAGCGTAGAGATACAACAAATTACACATATACATGCGTTATCAATACTTTTGATCAGTATTACACATGCGCAACTCACATATTCCGAACATGTGTTTCAGCCTGCGGTCGGAAAGACGCTAGAGATGCTTCTATTTGATTGACCAATCAGGATAAAAAGATTAAAGATTTCTTTATCCTGATTGGCTAATGCAATGCTTCGAAATATCTATAGCGTCTTCTCGACCGCAGCCACTAGTTCAGTGGCTGATGTCACGTGACGTTAATGAATGTTAGGTTAGGTTAGGTTAGGTTAATTAGGTTAGATGAGAACGCAACTTGGGTTACGTGAAGTGTGTACAGTGAAAAAACAATTCGTCAAGTTGAGTGAAAAATGTCGGGATGCAGGAAAAAGAACAAGAACAACAAATTATTGCAAAAAAGGTCCCGGTACGTTCTCGGCAAGGAGCAGAGATACCATCAGAAAATAGACAGGGAATCGGAGGAATCGGACAAGGAGAATGAAGAGATAGGTTAGATGAATTTTGCGAAATTCAATGGGCTTTGTAACGGTCATTAGGTATGTATTTAAACTTGCAGAATTAATAGACGAATGGCCGTTACCTTTCTACGTGGCTATGTGGGATCTGAAGCACTGCGATCCTAAGAAATGTACTGGCAAACAGTTGATAAAACATAACTTGATGAAGATACTGAAATTAGGCACTCTATTTCCAGGCTTGTGTCTTACTCCACTTGGTAATAAGGTAGTTAAGCAGAAAAACATCAGCAGTCTCATTGCAGGTGCTCGGTACAATATCGCAATATTTTTTTACAGTATGTGACAGCAATGGATCGCGAGATAGTGCAAAAACATGGCTGTGCAGTAGTGGATTGTAGTTGGTCGCGTATAGACGACATTCCCTTTCATAAAATGAGAACATCTCATTCTCGCATATTGCCATTTTTGGTTGCTACTAATCCAGTAAACTATGGAAAACCTTGTGAATTGAGTTGTGTCGAAGCTATAGCAGCTACTTTAATTATAACTGGATTCCCAGATGAAGCTAAGCTCTATCTTGAAAAATTTCGGTGGGGACACTCATTCTTAAAACTGAATGGCGAACTATTGGAAAAGTACGCTCGTTGCACAAACACTGAAGAAGTGATAGCAGTACAAGATAATTTTCTAAAAGATGCTAGACAGGAGAAAATAGATAGACATGGTAAGAGTATTCTTCCTCTTTTCTATATAGTTACTATTTTTTCATTTTAACATTATCATATATATCTATTCTTATAATTAGCACTTTCTGATTTTCCACAAAGTGATGTGGAATCTGAAGAAGAGGGAAAGAAAGATCAGAATATATCTGAAATAACTAAAGAATTAGCTAGTACAGAAATATAAGGTATAATATTTATTATTTAACAAGATATTTGACAAGTACAAACACTTGTGTACATATTTTGTATATTTTATTGGAATAATGATTATTTAACTGTATTATACTATATAGAAAGAAAGATTATGTGCATAATATTGTGTGTATATATACATATAATAATACAGTATTATATATATATATATATATAATACAATATAATAATATAACACTATTATATAATTAATAAAGCAATAAAAAAAAATATTTCTTTGTGGCTTCTTTCATATATTAAGTTTTTTCATAGAATAAATTATATCTTCATTTTACATGTCAAATATAACCATTAAAATTTAAAAATTATTACAATAAATTAAATATTTGTACATAATTCTCGTAAATAATGCATTAAAAATAAAAAAAAAATATCCATTCATTGTTGAAACTTATTGTTAGATTGGAACTATCCTAATCAACATTTGCTCGGATCAAAATTTTTAATGTTTCCAACTCTGTCTAAAACTGATATTCTTTTGAATATCCATATTTTTTTAACTATCGATTAGAGTTCCTTTATTCTTGCTCAGTAGAGAAGATTTGAAAGATATACATATTTACAATAATATTAACTGCCTCGCTTGATTTCTTAATTTTTGCAAAAACGGGCAAAAATATGTTCATTAGAATCAAAATCGTGGAGTAAACGAAGTCCGTTTTTCTGTGCGAGCTCTTTCAGTTCTTCGGTAAAGTTTTTCAAATCCTCTTTACGCAAATCCGCCATATATTTGCGCGATTCCACAATTACTGGTGCACCTGTCGATGCTAATGGCGCAAGATTTTCTAACTGCTTTGTCATATTGTGCGCTATCCAAACCAGATGAAATCTATTTATGTATTCGCATTTAGATTTTAAGGACTCCAACGATGTTATAGGATGAAAGATTATCTAAAAAAAAAGAAAGAAAGAAAGAAAATGAAATTTGTATACAAAATATTCCTTGATTTATTGTGGTAATTATACAAAACGCACCTTATGATTTGATACTTCCACCCAAGAAATTTTTTCTTTGTCTGATTTAGATTTATCTCCGATACTTGTCCACGATTCGTTTTCTATTTCGATGTCTGGCATTTCACTTACTATAATGCCATTCAAAATCGAAGCATTTGTTGAAACTTATTGTTAGATTGGAACTATCCTAATCAACATTTGCTCGGATCAAAATTTTTAATGTTTCCAACTCTGTCTAAAACTGATATTCTTTTGAATATCCATATTTTTTTAACTATCGATTAGAGTTCCTTTATTCTTGCTCAGTAGAGAAGATTTGAAAGATATACATATTTACAATAATATTAACTGCCTCGCTTGATTTCTTAATTTTTGCAAAAACGGGCAAAAATATGTTCATTAGAATCAAAATCGTGGAGTAAACGAAGTCCGTTTTTCTGTGCGAGCTCTTTCAGTTCTTCGGTAAAGTTTTTCAAATCCTCTTTACGCAAATCCGCCATATATTTGCGCGATTCCACAATTACTGGTGCACCTGTCGATGCTAATGGCGCAAGATTTTCTAACTGCTTTGTCATATTGTGCGCTATCCAAACCAGATGAAATCTATTTATGTATTCGCATTTAGATTTTAATGTCTCCAACGATGTTATAGGATGAAAGATTATCTAAAAAAAAAGAAAGAAAGAAAGAAAATGAAATTTGTATACAAAATATTCCTTGATTTATTGTGGTAATTATACAAAACGCACCTTATGATTTGATACTTCCACCCAAGAAATTTTTTCTTTGTCTGATTTAGATTTATCTCTGATACTTGTCCACGATTCGTTTTCTATTTCGATGTCTGGCATTTCACTTACTATAATGCCATTCAAAATCGAAGCATCTCTATGAGCGCCGACATAATCCTCGCACAGCGGTTCTCTTGTTCTTATCTCGTGAATTGCACGCATTATTTCACGCTCCGCAATGTCGGTTGCTCTAAACCTTTAAAATGTTCAATTTTATCTCATCCTAATTTATCAAAAATAAATGTTTCTTTATCGAAAGTGTTTTTTACTTTTTGTCCTCTTTTTCTTTGATGGCAGCCCAAGTCAAATAGGGACCATTTACGATGTCTCCTAAATACGCATAATGTATAAAACCAGGTCCATGTTGTATTATATTATTTAACAGAGTCGGATTGCTCCTGGCTGGTTCACCTTCGAGCCAAGTAAACGCTACTCCGTTATTTCTCCAAAATCTAATTAATGATAATAATAGTTCACTAAACACATATGTCATCTTGTATTTCCGGATATTGACATCGTATAATTTTACTTAAAATAGCGCATTCAGTTTTTATATTATACACTTATCAAGCATACCTGTATTCTTGTATTGTAAGATTATTAATACATCTAGGCTTTAAAACCATATAATAGTCCCAATCGAAAACGCCTTCTTTACAATCGTATCGCGTTTTCAGAGATTTTCTAATTCTGCGATCCCAATAGTTTATTATGGGGACTCCTTCGCATGTTGCACGCGTCCAAAATCTTAGAAAATATGCTACATAAATACTCGAAAACCCATTAAGGTATCTCTATCGTTCAAAATCAAATTCCTTCGTTATATTACATTTTTATATGCGTTAACTTACTTAAAGATGGATTCCAAATTATCTCTATCTTTGTGCTTAAATTTTTCCAACGATAACCATGGACAGTCAATGGTCCTAGTCGGAATATCGATCAGCTGTTTGGTACATTTTGCTAAATATTTAGCCGTAGCTGGCCTTAAAAGAGTATTTCCTAAAATCTCCAGGTAGTATCGGGTTGCCTCCTGTAATCCTTCCCAGTAATTATGCAATGTATATTATATTTTCTTCTACTTAGAATTGAGAATAGACTCATTGCTATTTATACATACCTAGATTTCTCTCTAAACAAACGCTCAATAAAAGTATCGATCTAGCAACTTGCTCCAAAGTTGGTTCAATAACATGATATATAATACTTCGATTGGGATGCGTATAAGATGATGCTAATGTCTTTATGATATGTCGTGCATCGCCAGCACCTACAATCAATACTTCAAGATTGTCTAAAATGCGATCTTCTCTCCGAGTCACCTCAGTTTGTAGATCTAACGGATGGCTATATCCCCACATATTATATATTTAGAAATTTGTATTTTTCGTCGATTTTGATGAAACGCACACTTTAAAATCGTTATATGTATATACGATTACAAAGCTTTCTGTTGCATTAAATTCTTGGGCCAAGATCTGTTATCTCCATGACAACACCACAAACAGTACAAATGAAGAGAATCCTCATTTGAATCAAATGTTCTAATTTTCTAAGAGATGATGTTGCTGAAGAGATCAACTTTACATCAATGAATAAATTAATTGGAGGCAGAAATTTAATGAATAGAAAGACATTTGGCAAGAGAAATATAAGAAGCATTATATTAAAATAAAAACATATTTATATAATAAAATTATAAACATATTGTTATAGTGATAGTCATGTGTCTTCGAGACTTATAAAATCATTTATTTATTTCTATATATATATATATTATATATATTTAGAATCTGTGACACAGATAAAAATAGATTCCTTATAAATTTTTTTCTTTCAGAAAGTTCGTTTATAAACCATCACGCTCATTCGGTGTGACAGTTTATTTGTCCCTTTTTTTCTGAGCCCGTTTGTTACCACAACGTTGTAAAAGATCGGTAATAGGACCCTTATGTTGAAATATAGTGACGAGCTGCGTACGTGCTTCATTCATTCCCTCACTAATTAAACTACTACGCTGCATGTTTCCTTTAATTAATTCATTCACGCGCTCCAATCCGTCGTTGTGTCTGCTTTTAAGAGTTTGCTGTGATTCTAATAACATTAGTGTAGTTTTTAATTTTTCGTGAACCTGCAAAAGATACAATACAGAAATTGTTTATCACTTATGCAGATTGGAAGAAATCTCCAAACAATATGACAAATCAATACTTTTCACACCTGTTTTTCAAGATCTGCGATGTCTTCCATTTGTGTAGTGAGATGATAAACTTTCCACCCATTCAGTTTCTGTAATACATGTTTCTGTTGTGCCAATTCAGCAACTGTAGGTCTTCTCTCTTCGCGAGGTCGAACATCACTAGGTCTTCTATAATGGTGCAGTCTAACACTCCACTTGTTTTTCCAAGAAGAACCTGTAAACGAGCAATATCTGATTAGAAAGAAAATTTATAACTGATATCAATCCCCACACATACATATATATATATATATATACATACATACATACATGTATGTGTGTATACATACCTACACAATACAAACGAATATATACAATAAAAAAATGTTTACATATACAAACCTATCAAACTTGGAATAGGCCGTGTCCGTATTGTATTTTCTGTTTGTTGATTAGATGATTTAATGTCACTTTGAACATTGGATATTTGTCTCTTGTCAGAAAACTTCTCTTTTGATTCTTCTTTGTTATCCTTTTTCATTTTCTCCTCTGTAATAAATTGCATTTCTTCCTCTGTACATCTAGGTTCTATTAATTCTACGCCTGTTAGTTGTTGCTTGCGCGGTTTTTTTCTTGGTGACATTTCTATAATAGGATTGATAGTAATCCTCGATTGTTCAGGTTCCTCATCAAGACCAGGTGAAGACGTAGCAGATACGGTCGTAGATCCGGAACTTTGGCATCCACCACCATCCAGATCTCCTTTTGGCGACAACGGCGGACTGATCGATCTACTTGATGGTAGAGACGCCAGTACAGGATTTAAATTTTTAGCCACACCTGACATAATAAAAAAATTGATTTTGTATTGATATAAAATTAAAACAATGGTTATATATATATATCACCTAATTGATATCCAATAAGAAACATAATTGAATCAATAACAATGTTTCAGAAAAATTATTATTTATCTTAATATCCAACAGAGAATAAAAAAGATAAATATGATTACAATGTTAATTATAGTTACAGTATATTGAAACTACTTTAATATACAAAGAAAATTTATTTCAAATTTTCTATGCTATTATTCTTATCACTTTGAAATGCTTTAGCAAACTAAGATCAAATTATATATAAATGATGATAGCTATCATATGTAAATATTTTGCTGATATGTACACAAGATTAATGTAGGTTATTGCAAACCAATACAGAACTAAAAATTCTTCAAATACTATCATTACAGATCAGTAAAAAAGCATTAAAAAAAATTTAGTATGCTACGAGATCATTAATAACGTTTTATATATTAATAACGTGATATTTTTCCTATTTTTCATTACATATATAATAATACTTTTTATAAAATACTTTGCTATTGCTTTAATTACATTTAGTGTATGTTTAATATAATCATACTTTTGACTGGTGAATTGTCATGATCTCTCTTTCTCAGGATGCTTGGTCTGGGAGATGCATTAGGTTTACCATGAGGTTCCTCATATCCTCCTGGTTCAACGACTAATCTTACTGGCTGCATTGAACCTTGTCGAAATGGCGAGTATGTTCCTGAAAAATAAAATACAGTACAATAGTTTCTAAGCACTTTTTTTATTGCAGGAAGGTATGAAAGAAATCTAGAAAATATAGCCCGTTTGCCAGCCTACTTTTAATCATTATTTCATGATCAATCTACTTTTAATCATGATTTTACCTGTAGTCTCAAAGGAATAGTATGTAGTAGTGTTATGCGGCGGAGTTATATATTGTCCTTGAACCGGCTGTGCAGAACTGGTAGCCGTGCCGCTATTGGTGGACGATACGCGTAAGCTAGCTGGTTGCACTGGCTTAATCTGGACGGTTTGTCCAATATTCTGTGGTTGTGCAGCAGTGGCTTTGACTGGCGTCGGTGCAGCCCTCACCGGTACTATGGGCAGAGGATGCAGAGACATCCCTGTGATTTTTGCAACCGTGGTTGGAACCGTTTGCAATATACGCATCGCGTTCGATTGCGTATTCGCGGTTGTCGTAATCACTTGTGACACTGTACTGAAGCTTGACAGGGATGTAACAACGTTTTGAACGACACGTGGTCCACCTGGCTGTTGTTGAATCTGTATCCACACCCAGATTACTTGTTAATCTTGAATCAATTTTCTATAAATTATAACAAAACATATATGACATGTACTAACCTGTTGCGAAGGAATAACAATATGGCTAACAGTGCCAGTCGAAGGCCCAGCCACTGTGTTAATCGATAATTGTCGCCCTGGTTCCACCGAACCGATGGTAACCGAAGTCGTGCTGTTAATTCTGTTCGCTGGCTCTATGGGTGCTGATACAGCTATACGCTTTGTAGTACCAGATGTGGTTAGAGGTCTGTTAGATTGGCTGGGCTAAACATTTCAATAGAAGAATTTATAAATACATCAATTTTATATTTTTTTATTTTAGGTGAAGTCCAGAAAGATTGTACACTCAACCGTTACATATGCCTTCATTTCCGGGTTGAACATATTGTATCGATATTCATGTACCGTGACTCATTGTATCGATATTCGTGTACCATGACTCAAACATGACACAAATGTGACACAATATTAAATGCATGTATATATATTACACATTTCTATATATTTAAATCACATGATTTACTTGAATGGTTTGTGTCGATGATCTTCCTGGTTGCGAAGTTTGCGACACAGTTACTACTTGCGGTGTCGGCGGTCTGCTTTGTGGAAGTGGAAGTCTGGTAATATTATTCGTTTGCAAGATGGGCGTTATCAATCTGGACGGAGTACCAGTGACCATGGCTTGAACAGATCTTCCCTGACTGGCTGGTGTGATTAGCCGTGTCTGTTGCCCTGTGTATATGGTAGTTGGTGGCCTGGAGACTCTACTGACCGGAGGTGCAGAATGTCTTTGTGGTACACTTTGCGCATACACGACGGACGTTTTAGATTGCCATTGGGGATTGGAGATTGATGTATTACTATTAAAAAAATAGGTACATATAAAATTGCTTTGTTATTATCAGCTTAAAAAACATGGTCTATTTTATCCAATACATACCTTGGTCTAGTAGTAGGCACAGTTTGTCCTGTATTTGCCCTGACAATAGGAGTGGCAACTGTTGATCTAGGTGCAGAGATATTAGCAACTGCTGCAGCTCCTCGTGGTACATGGTATGTGGCTGGCATACTGACTGCTTGTGTCAATGGCTGTGTCTGTGGTTGGTTTTGCCTGTCCACAGTATTTAATATTCCTGGTGATATTATTTTCACCGTAGGTCCTATAGAACATAACTATAGAAACAATGAAATTGGTATTAATAAACTTGTTATATGATAAGATTCTCATAGACGAGTATTAAAATACTATGCAAATAAATTATTAATATTTTTCATGCTTATTATAAAAAAAAAAATCTATGTAACTTATCAACACAATTGTTATATTAAATTTATTTTTAAATTTATATTTAATCTCTTCAGGGATGGATTTATTGAAGTTGGAAAACATTATTTTATTTTATTTTTTCATTCAATAATATTTTAATCGAAGAGTAGATAAATCTAATAAATTGTTCATGCTCATGTTTTCTAGATATTTAGGTTCTAGAAACACATGTGGCTCATACATTTGTATATTTTGCGTATGCCAATCAAAGGCATAAGAATGTTGTCTTCTTTTTCCTCCTTATGCAATCAACATTTGTTCATGCTCATGCTTTTCTAGATATTTAGATTCTAGAAACACATACGATTTCTAGATTTGTATATTTTGCATATCAGTGCCAATCAAAGGCATAAGCATGTTGTCTTCTTTTTCCTCTTTGTGCAATCGACATTTTTTCTTATCTTGCAATTCTGAGATTGAATATATAAGTCCTTAGAGTCACATGACCTGTTAAAAGTCCAATTGCAACTCAAAATCTATTCATTGTCAAACACATTTAGAAAGCAGGGTATTCCTCTATAGAAAGGAGGGTATTCCATCAATGGCGGTTATAAGCCTCGCACTTGACTAGGTAAGCCTTCCACTTGGCCCGATACTTGATACATATAACGCAGAATAAATAAATTAAAATAAATTCTGCTATTGTGTAAAGTAAAAGAATTTATGGTAAATAACTAATATTTATTATACAGCTTCGATACACTAATATTACCGTAGTTGTTATTTTACTGCTTTCTACAGACGAGGTAGCGCCCGAGGGTGTCACAGGCTTCATTAATGACAGCTTCGGATTCATGTCCAGCGATACCGATTTTCCCACTAAATTACCGGATGTTCCCACCGATCCAACAATAGTCTGAATCGGCTGAATATTTTGTATACCACTCTGAACTACACTTTGTACATTTTGCATACTCTGTACATTCTGCATTGTAGTCAAGTTCTGTGCCACAGTTTGTACAGTCGTTTCCGGCAGACGTTTGTCACCGCCACTACTGACAGTGCTCAATGTATTCATATTTGCGTTGTTGAAACGAAGCAGGTACCGAATTAATTTATACATCGATCATACAGACCATAAGAATACATTAAAAATCTAAAAGTCTTAAAAATTAATTGTGAAACGAATATTATAGCGATGACGATGAAAAGATTTACGCGGATGAACAAAGCTGGTCAGCGAGTAAGCCGAAGATTCGTCGCGTTCGAAGTATAGCAAAGTCTGTATGTAGCCTTTAGTCCAAATTGTTGTTTTATGTCAGATGAGAGTATCCAACAATATTGGAGGTTACGCCGCTTTCTTGATGTGCGCGGGAGAATCCGCGATTTGGGAGACGATGCGCGATTGCCTCATCGTTGAGATCACACATTTTCGAGCGAGAGGACGCGTCGCGTGGCTCGAAACGTCGGATTTTGATACTTTGAGCAGTAGCAACTGGTCCCCGCGTAACGCTGTAAAAATGCGAAAAAACCTATGTAGGGATCCCGGTTCGTGGAAATATCGCCGAGGATCGCACAATACTTGTCAGATACACGAGAGTCTCGCTAACATTTCGATCGAAAAAAAAAAACACAAAATCTGTATAACACTTCTTGCATCGCACTACCCAAGTTTATAGCAATTTATAGCGCATAATTTCAGTACAGCAATACTAGAATTAAGACGCGAGCAACACGCAGCCATAGTGGAGGGGATAACACACACAAGTGAAACCGCCATTTGCAAGTCTGCGCATGCGCCGAGCTCACATGTACGCGATTTGGCTCGTGTGCGTATCATTCCCGCCACCACACACACTTGCATGCTGCTTGCGTCTCTGTTCTTTGTAGTTGAACTGGTTGCACTAGTTCAGTTTTATCTTTCTCCTTCCAACGTGAAGAGAAAAAGATAAACTCTGGACTAGTGCAAGTAGTGCAGCCACTTCAGTTATAAAGAACAGAGTTATAAAGTCTGTCATAGACCGCATTCAACAGAGAAAGCGCTCAGTTATCTATTCTTTTTTTTCTAAGGAATGAGATATATATATAAAAATAAATGTATAATACAATAATATTTTCATACAATAAAATCTTGATTACACGATATCTCGTTAAATATATATTAAATAAAATCTTGTATTTCTGATAATTAATAAGAAAGTGTTTGCAAATAAATATGTGAAATCATCGATTGGAATTTATCATGAGCAATTGTTACTGGGGAACCTTTTAAAAAATCTCTGATAAAAAGAGATCTCGTATGAAAATCTCTGCTTTGATCTACTTAGTAAAATATGGCGGCGGCAGCAGCTAGTGGTACGTGCCTTATATTTTGTCTTTTCAATATTTCTTTAGTAATACGTAGCAAATTAATTGACTAAATGATTAATTGATTACATGTTTTTTAAAATTATTAAATAATAACGAAATTTCTTGTACTTTTTATAAAAATTATTATCATACATAACCTTAAGTTATATATTTTTTAAGTGATACAATAAATCAAGCAATATTATATTTTATTTTGTTTGTAATGGCAATTCTTTTTCTTTGCAGGTTGGTTACTAAATTTTTCTTCAACATACATAAGGCATGTGACATGCCTTAATTTTTGTCCCGTTGGCTTTTTACAAGCACGAAATTATGCTGCTAGAAAAGGTACAAGAGAAAAAGCGAGGAAGAAAAAGATCAAAGTGGTTGTTGAAAAAGTCGGTTTTATACCACACAACCGGAGAAAAACACGAATGTGAGCATTTTTTAATATAATATATTTTAATATATTTTAGTAATTTGTATATTAATATTAGTATATTATTTCTTTATGATACTAGTGCAGCTAAAAGAAACAAGTTGAACAAGGAGAATATTATATTGGATGATAGTAAAAAACCAGATCCAATAGATAATGTCTGGATTGGGCAATTTCATAAATGGAAAATTTATTCATTAGAAGAAGCAATACAGAATCATCGTGAAACACATCATCCTACTATGTACAATTTACCAAATGCACCTATAAAAGCATTTATAGAATTGGACATGCAGGTAATAAGAGAAGAAAAAACATGTACATAAGATTTATAATGCGTATATATAAAAGGCATACTGAATGTAAACATGTGTTATCAGGGTACAAAAAAGACAAAATTTGTTGATGCTTTCTCGAAAATAGCATGTTTGCCACATTCATTTGATCATGGTCAATCCAGAAAAATATTGGCATTTTGTAAGACGCCTGAAGTGCAGGAAATAGCAAGAGCAGCTGGAGCTCAGTGTGCTGGTGGTAAAGAATTAATAAAACAGATTCAGGTAAATAATATACTGTTTTTCTAACATAATGCAATTATATAATAAGCATGTGAAGATTATATCCTCTAACAATTGCTGATTAGATGTATATTGTTTTAGAACGGAGAATTTGCACTGAAAGAATATGATATTATCGTGTCAGAGCCAAGCATCTTACCTGATCTGTTGCTAATTAGAGGGCTGATGAGAAAGAAGTTTCCCGGCACTAAATTGGGTTAGTAGAGATACATAATAATTAAACTTTTGAAAATTTTGTTTTTATGATATGTCGAGTTTATTCCATAAGATGAACATATGTGCAAAAATTTTGAAACTTAATGTGTTATTTCTAAAATAAATTTTAATATTTATTATATGGTTTATGTTTTCATTTAGGTACTCTAAGTTCTGATATGAATATGCTTGTAACGAAATTTTTAACCGGAATAAAATATACAGCAAAGCCACATGATTTCCTAAAATCTTATGGCACTATTGATGTTACATTTGGAATGGTAAGTTTTTGATAGTGTTATTTGGGTAATTGTGATTGTTACAAACATATTTTATTAATTTGTGTATGTGTCAGATAATATAAAAAGATTATCGATTGATTTATTATTTTATAGCTCGATATGGATACAAAGCAGTTGGAGGAGAATTTTGTTGCCATTATTAAGGATGTTAATACTGCAAAGCCACGTCGACCAGAACCTTTTATCACAAGGTATCACAATATTTAGGATTATTTGTATTATTTAGATTTATGCTTTTATATACACATTTATTATATAATTGTATAATTCTTTAACAGAATTCGTATTTCGTGTGCGCCAGCAACAGAAATGTTTAAAGTTGACTTTGAGCAATATCTATCTAAAGATAATACGTTTAAAAAAGGAGAAGAAGAAGAAGAAGACGAAAGCGAAAATGAAAAGCCGGATGCTGTTATTGCATCTCATTAATTTTGTTTATAGGTATATCTCTATAATATAATATCTATAGTTAAATATACACATTAATAATATTTATTAATAGCAAAAACCCCTTTGTTTTCCTCCCGTTGTCGCTAATATAATATAATATTTCATATATTTATTTTCCATTACTAAAAGAGCTAATCTTATCAATTTTTTATCAGTATGTTATTAAAAGCATATTAAATTATTGGTAAAACATTGTTGTGAATATTGTAATGAATTGAACGATTCTATTTTGCTTTTTATTTCAAATTTATAATTATTATCGTTTTATATGAAGTTGTTACGATGTAATTGTTATCCCCTGTATAGTTTGATCATAATAATCCTTCAACGAAAGGTGCATAATTATGCAGGACGTAATCTCGTTAACGCCGATAGGGCATGATGACTATGGTCTACCACTTGTGCGTTAATAAGCGGACGATCATGGGGAGGCAGACAGAGGCGGCACTAGAGATAACGATGCCCTAAGCAAATGTATTTACTGCTTGTGAATATCGCAAAGTTTTACATCATCGAGCAAGCCATTGTACACACAAGGGCTTCCATCAGAGAAAACACTTGTAGATATTTAACTCACATTCTGTATATATATATGTGAAGTCCGATGAAATCTAAATAGCCGTCTCATAGCTTAATATGGAGCCTTTATGTATGCAAAAGCCTTTGCAGATATGAGGCCTCTGTAAATGCGTTAATCGTAATTCAAGGTAAAAACCAGAATTCGATTTTATTTCATAAAATTCTCTATATCAGAGATATGTTTTCTAAGAAATTGTTGTTCTCTCTCTTTTTAAACATAGTTTTCCATGTATGAAAATGTTTGTTAGTTTAATGAAATTTTTGTGTGTTCGAATTCTTAAAGATAAAATCTTTACAAGTATGAAAATTTTACAGATACAAAAAGTATTGCAATCTACCGCAAATAATTTAGCAGGATTTTTTTACAAAAGTGAGATTTTTAACGTTTCAGTATAGATAATTATTTATTTATATACTGCGAAATAATATTTGTCGTTTCGCGGAATCCTAGCATTTACGAGATCTTGAACATTAACGCGGTAAATCTGTACAGGCAGGATCTCGATGAAAGTATTTACAAGCAGGCACATACGAATGCCTTCGTATAATCTAACGCGACGATGTACTTTCACCCAGTTCGCCTGACGGTAGAGCCGTCTCTGCGGGAGACCGCGGAGAGACGTGCGTACGTACGACGAAAGGCGGACGAAGTAGAAGGAGCGGCGAGGCAAGTGAAGCGAGGGAAATGAGAATGGAGAACACGGTGAGCGGCGACCGGTGGTGGTGCGGCACACCGAACGAGCGATCGGAGTGTGGAGAGGGGCGACGACTCACCTACCTGCCGGTTGCGGGCTCAGTCGGTGTCCGCCAGGTTGAAAATCCGTCCGTCGCTTCTCTTGCCCTCTAACTAGCGCGTAACTGTATAATACACGCGAACCGGTCGCGTTCTTTTTAGGGGAACAAACAGGTCACTCGAAATATAATTTTCGTCGGGGGATGTTCCCCTTCTTGATCCGCTGATCTTCAACGTCGCCGATACCGATGATTGCGCGGGAACCCCTTGGTTTATAATCTTCTTCGACTATACCGAAGATTCGGGAAAGCGGGAAAATTTTCGCGCGGATCGAGAGCACGAAAATTTGTCTCTGTGAGTGGAAAAGTGAAGGAGGCGCACGCGTCTGTGCGTGCGCTGGCGCCTTTTTCGCGGCGCGCGTCTGTCTCTCTCTCTGTGCATGTGTGTTTACGTATAGTGTGATTCGTGTTGACTGTGCAGGGTGCAACGAACGAGGAGAAAGAAAGGGAGAGAGAGAGAGAGAGTAAGAGACAGCGATTTCAAGTTTTCTTCTCACCGTCTACCGCTCCGATTGCCTCCTTCGTAGACATGCCCCTGCTTGACGGCCAACAATTGCGGCATTAGGTGACATACAGGCGCACACGTGCACCAGTCATGGTAAGTTTGCAAAGATCCTCTCCGGTACAGAGTACACTCTCGCAAAATCGAATCTGATGACTCGCAAAAGTCGTTTCCCGAGGAATTGAGATGCGACAACAGCCTCTGAAGTTGACAATCATAACATTCAAAAAAAAGATGCGCATGATCACATTATTGTTACATTATAAGTTATAAATACATTATAAGTTATAAGTGCATCAGATTATATTTAAATTGTATTTTTCATTTGTGAAACTCTGAACTTGTTTTCCGAAAATAGCATTTTTCGAGATTGTTGCATCGCACTCAATTTCTCAGTCTTTTTTACCCTCTTTTTTTGCTAAATTCGATCAGAGTAATTGAAGCAACAGCCCCTGCGAATGGAATGTTGCAATATATATTTTATTACGATATAAAAAATCTTTTCCGCAAATGATATGCGGTTGCATCTGTAAAGCGTTGCTTTTATTATCTTTCAAGCAGTGGGAAAGACTGTACGACAAGAATAAAACTGCTCGTGAAAATTATGCACGCGGTTGCTCTCACGTGTGCGCGCGCGGAGTTTAAAGGGCATCTTATAATAAAAGTCGATGCGAGGAGGTACGGCAAGCCCAGGCGTACTCTGATATCTTCATTTCGCGTATGCGAACTGCGAAGAGAGGGAGAGCTCGCGAGGTGAATGCGGCAGCCGGATTCGGTATGCGGTATCCGTAATTTGCAGCACGAGTGTCGTTATTATGGCGTACACGCGAACGCGCGTGGCACCTTCGGCATTTCCAAAGATCCTCCCCCCTCGCCGTTCTGTCTCGAGAAACTAACATAGTAATAATCACGGACCACCCGATCTTCAATCGCGACGTCCATAATATTTAGTAGAAGCGAGACTTTAACGACGAGAAAGCGTTTATGTAAGTTGACAAGTCATCGGTGGAAAGTGTCTCTTGGTCCTCGCCACCAATGTGGTTACTAATCATGACCGGCGAGAAATGTCAATTCAAGCGTACTGTTCCGTGTTAGCAATCAATTTGGAAGCTATTACTTTATATACAATTGTTGCGGCTAATATCGAACTCCTCGTACAATTATAGAGTACAATCGTGACTTGAAAGAATTTTTTATTTTTATTTTGGTATGATAGCTTTCTGCACCGTTTTTTTTTTACTAAAAATCTTTGCGTTACAAAAAGATTAATTCTGCTCCCATAGTTCGCGAACATCGACATTATGCAAACGCCGCGTACGTGAGTTGCGTGTTTCGATTTATTTTTCACGACGTGAGATCCGGTGGATTCTTGCGTGTTACTTATCTCTCGAGTCTCGATTCAAATTCATAAGCAGTCATCTGTAATTTACTCTCAATAAGTATGCGCATCGTACAGCTCGCGAATTTTCCTTTTTTCTATCTCGATGATATCTGTGCTTGTCAATTTATATGTATCAAGATTCAATCTGCAACAAATGTGTGCTGGCTTGTCTTTTAGTGTTTTCTTTAATTAAGTAAATTATTTTTATTTCTGGATTGCTTGAGAGGGATAATCATTTGGTAAAATTTACACAAATTTTTGAAACATGTTAATTAATTATATATAGCTATTAATATCGCAAATACATTTTATAAATATCTTTAACGCGCGATATTTGAGAGCAATCTTCACATGTGCAAACGGATTTTAAGCTCGTAGGAGCAATCGCTCGCTCGTATGATTCGTATCGATGAAATTGCAAAATCGTTGAAGCCTTGACTGCCACTCGCCGAGATTTTTGACGTACTATTATTTCACGAAACGGCACATCGTGGAGTCACGCGAGGCGATGTGTGCAAGGTCTAAGTACCAATAATTCCTTAATCGTGTCACGATACGGCGTCTTTCTACGTGGCGATATTCGAGATCGATAAATTGGTCTAGCAATCCCTGTCGACAGTGAAAGGCAGTTTGAAGGGCGATATGTTAGAATATGTCGAAGATGCGATGTGCTGCTAATTAGTTGGACCTTATTTATGAAACGCTAAGGATGATTTATGCAAAAGAGAGCTGAATTTAGAAAAAAAAAATAACTTGTTCATTGTAATATTATGATGAGCAATTATTCATATTATTTGACAGTGATTAGAGGCAATTGCAGAACGCTATTAATACATTATTATTAGCAATATTTTTTTCCAATTTTTTATGGACACACGAAAATAAAAAATATTCATGAATTATTTCACAGTTGTCGGTTATCCTTAAAATTGCAACTGACCCAATTGTCGTTCTTAATTATCTTAAAAACAAGTTCTAGATTTGTTTTAGAGTCCCGATATTAATAATTTACGAAAAGATATTTTGTTTTGTAAAATTTTGCGCGCAACCATATACAGTTTATGAGAGAAATACTGGTTATAAATATAATCCAAGTCCACGCCGTTCTATCTCCGTATTTTGCTCAAATTACTTTATTCGATGAATATCTCGGAAATGTTCGCAAACGTTGTTACGCATTTCTTGGTAGCGATCTTAATATATCGCGGCGCGTATCGATATATAATCAGATGATGAACAGATCGATTCCGGATTATTATCCGATTGCGGCAGAACGTTTTATTAACACACGCTGCGAAATTACGGTTTTGCATTCGCGCGTGCCTTAGAGACGCGATCCAGTCATGCGTGCCAGATCGCCGCGAAACCCGGCTCCAGAAGCGAATGCAAATGATAGCCTTGTGGGAGTCTACGTGTCTCTGTAACGCTTCGATGTTTTCCTTCCCTTCGACTTTCCCGACAGAGTCGATCGACACACGCAGGGTTCGTAGACAATAATTACGTCTCATAGTATATTGCATGGCCGACACAATTCGCTGCGACACGAGTCTATATCTATATTTTTCTCCCTCGTTCGTTTCCACGCTCGTTCGCCGGAAAATTGCAAATCGACCATTTTCGTAAGATCGCGAATTTCCCTCCGTGAACTTCCGCGTGACCTCTCCGCGTGTCGTGGGATCGGATACGCCGAGGGTAATACCGTTTCTAACGTACTTCAATCTGCACCAGAGGAAACTCCATGCGAGACAGATATGCGTCTTGACGTAACCCGATCATGCAATCGCGCCTTGCTCTTATTGTTAGCTCTTAGACAGACAGCCCTTTTTTTCTCTTTTCGAACATCGCGAATTCTTGATCGTGTATTCGGTCGAGAATTGCGAGATCAATGCAAATTTCACGTCGGTTCGAAGAACATTAAAATCCTTTTACTCTTCCCCTGAGGCGTCTACGGCAAATCAGGGATGTTTCCCCGCGGTTTGTTAACAGGACACTCCGATAAAATTAACTCCGATAAATTTAGAGCTTTTAGAGAACTCGATTACAAAATTCTCAAAATTTATCATTGCAATACAAAGTTCTTTTCTTGTATTAAGCGCACGAATATCTTTTCATCGTCACGAAACAGAGGAATAACTAAAGTAGTAGTTGTAGTAGTAGTAGTGATAGTAGTAGTAGTAGATATTAGCGACTCGCTTTGCAAAATGCCAACGTGACATTCACGCGGAGGAAAGTCCGAATGGGCGAGAGCAGAAACGCTAGACAGCAGAAGTGGGCAGGGGAGAGAAGCAGGTATATCAGCTAAGGAAAAATGACAGCATACGAAGCGGTTATGTGCCAGGTCGACCGGTTCTTCTTGTTACTCACTTCCCTCGCGAGACATATACTGGGTGACGATGACAACGCGTCCGTTCGTTGTATTAGCGCGTCGAACTGCATTCTAACTATAGTGAAAAGTCTCATCTTAATACGAAGCTATTCGATGAATCGGAAATCATGCGTATCGGGGAAATAGAGATTTCTCAGATAATAAAAGAAAATTGAGTAAAGTGTATATAGTGTAGACAATTCAAAGATTTTACGCTTGAATAATTAATAATTGATAATCAATAACTAATTAATTAATAAGCAATAAGTAATAATTATATAATTCTTATCTGCTTCATTTAATTAAAATGTTTTAAATTAAAATCTGAGGACTCTTAGAAAAAGATGATATAAAATATAAATGTAATTATAAATGCATATATTCCTCCCAAGTACAAGTAGAACGAAGTTAAAGTGATTTCTTTTTCCGCTAACTTTCAGGCGATTGATGCCTTCTCGAAATTCAAATGAGATTGAATTTATTAATCTTTGCTCAGATAATTAGTTATTAGTATTCCTAACCGCTCATAAATGCATCGACTGTCATAGCACAAACAGGAAGGTTGCATAAGAGATGTTATATAAGTATTAAATAATCTTCGTCGCGCGGAACATTGATCAATGACAGTAGTCATCTTCGATCATGAAATTTGCCATAAACCTCATTGATAACTGACTTTGACAAGTGCAATAGTCGGATTCACCTCGCTAATGATAATGATAAAACTGCGATTCGTTAATCGCACAGGAGCGATCGAAACCGGGCGATCGATAAGTGCGTTGAGCGTTAATTTGCACATTAGTATTCAGAGTATATGTTATTCAAATACGCACGTGATCGCGTATCGAGTGCGTTGGATTTTTTCTCGACGATGCCGTAGCTTGGATTAATTTTTATTAACGAGCGCCGCGATCGTGCGAAGAAAATCAACGCACGTAACGAGATATAGATCCGCTTTAACGAAACTCCCTTCCCTCTCGGAATATAAGGATGTGTAACCGTAACAAAAGGTAAATTCTCATGGCGGTTACAGCATGATGCGTACAGCACACGGTCTTCTTTCCCACGTGTTAGAAAACGCGCGTCTTATTCGCGTGTAAGAAAACGCGCGACAGCGGCCGATAGAACGCCGATGCAGCGTTATAATTTAATATGTTCTTTCTGTCAACTTCACTGTGTTTGCAGTTGATAAACGGATGAGAAGGATAAATTAAAATTTTTTGGATTCATTTAAATTGGGTTTATTTAAGCAAGTGAACATTTTTGCCGAATTTAGTTGACGTTTGTATAGTTATTTTTAATGAATACAAAAATTTTTTAAATAATATTTTCATATCTTTTATATCTTTT